TGAGAAGACTGAGGCCCAGGAAGGACGAGGCCATGCAGCCTCGACAGAGGTGGCCGGGAGCATAGCATGGAAGGTGCTAAGCATGCTTGCCACTGGCCCTAGCTGTCATCATTGCACATGCATTCTTTGACTGTCTCTTGTGGCTTGGAATTCATCTGCTTTTGACAGTAGTTCAGAGGACTTCATCTTAGCAACGGATAACCTGGGGACTCTATGACCGACTTTAAATTTTCAGTTGGTACCTTGTTATAAAAGGTTCAGCTTGTTCAAAAAGCGTAAGAACCACTGCTTTCGAGATTGTATCATGTACTTTTGTATTTTAAGGTTGACAAAGTCCTCTTAAATTTTTTTTCTTGGTAGCTCCATTTTATTTGCATGGTTCATTTCCCCCCTACTCCCCCCCCCCTCGCGCTCCAAGACTTTCTTAGTTTTAAGGATCTAATGCTTCACTCTAGCTTAGTTCAGCACAAAAAGGGCCCCACTGATGTCTAGCCTTGGCCTCTGTGTAGTGTCAGTCTCAAATTGACCTTGAAAGGTTGAAAGGTCCCCAGTGGCTCAGTCCAGCGAACCCGAAAGTCCTTCTCCAGGAAGACTTTGTTCTGCCTGTTTTGAGTTTCCCATAAGCCTTTGGGCAGGCACATGGGGTTTCTAGGTTATTCCCATCTTGTGTCACAGATTCTTATTGTTACAATGCTATGATGTGGTGCTTTGTACCTTATTCCAGAAAGGGCACCAATACTCCAGAAGCCAGCAGAGAATCGTGGAGAACTTTGACTAAGAGAGGGGTAGAAGAAGAGTTGTGTTAGAAATAGCTGTAACATTTCTACTACTTGAGGTTTATAGAAACCACTCCAAGTCATGTAAAATCTTAATTTGTAGGCAAACTGCAGCTTGGGGTGTCCGTGACCCGTGTTGGAGTAGTTAGGTTGGCATCGGAGCTCTGCTCTTGATTCCAACTTCCTGTTAATATGCACCCTTGGAGGCAGTGGTGATGGCTGACTCAGTAAGACCCTGCCGCCACAGTGGAGCCTGGGTTGAGTTCTGGTCTCCTGGGCAGTTGAGGATGAGCCAGAGGATGGGAGGCCTCTGTATCTTTCTACCTTTCCAATAGATAGGCTCAGTAGCATTTAAAAATGTTAGTGTGTCTTACAAAGTATTATTGCAGGCTCAAAAACTCTATAAAGCTATTTCCCTCTCATTTTTACATTAATGAGCAAAAGGGACAAAACCAGTAAAATGAAACAAGTACTTACAGGAGTTTTGGGTTTTGTTCCAGTTATTGTCCTTGCCATTGGAACCCTTCTGCAGGACTCGTGTGGATTTGCACAAGTCACGTGGTGGTCTCTTCCAGCTGGGAGAACTCCTTTCCAGCAGAGTTGCATCCATTTCTCTTCCCACCATGCCTGGCCCAGCATTTGCTGCATGCAGGTGTTAGTGTGTCGGATGAGCCGGTGTCCGCCTGGCTTGGATGACAAGGCACCGAAGAGTTAATGCGGCATTCTGTGTAGAAGCTGGAATTTGAACTTTGTTATTTTCCTAGTCTCAATTTGGGCTCTCCCCTCCTTGTGTTTGTTTATTTGCTTGTTTAACTTGGAACTCCAGCCCAGAGATCAAGGGGGTAGGATAGGTGCCAGTCCACAACTTCTAGTCTGTGTGCTCTGCCTGAGTGAACAACTGTGGAATCGCTGAAATACTGAGTAAGGACTGGAAGGCAGGGTCTGGTTTTCATGGCAGTATGGCAGGCTGGTCTAGCGCCACCTTCTGGAACTTTCTGGGGTGACATGGTCTGCGGTTTCATGTGTCCCAGAATCTCACCTCCTCTTTGCTTTGCCCCTGTTTCCTGCCCTGCTCTCTGCTTCGCAGCTGCACGCACCACAGCCGTCATTGGATGGAAACTGACAAGGAGCCAAGCTGGAAGCTTCCGCACGCATGTGCAGATGTCTTCATGCCGCTTTCTTTCTGCTACAAATTGGTAGTCTGGAATATGTAAGGCATGGTCTCTCCCTGTCACTGGACAATGTTATAGATGTAGCTTCTTACACTACGTCCTCCAAGGTGGCTGTATCAGTCAAAGTTCAGCAAGGGAGGCGGCATTAGTGGGAAACGTGCATTGTCAGAATCGGCTTATGTGCTTGTGAGAGCTGGCCAGCTAGGGCTTACACTGTAAGACCGGCTGTCGGGAGGGCGGCCTGGAGCTCCTGGACACGGGCTGACGCTGACTTCCAGGGGGGGGAATGTCTTCCTTCTCAGAGAGGCCCAAGCCAGCTCACTTAGGCTCTTCCAGTGGACTGAAGAGGCGCCACCCAGGTTAGCTGGCATGAGTTTCCCTGCTTCCCAGCAGCTGTCTACGGATTCACCGCAGCCACACAACACTTTTATGGCAATCCTTACACCTGCCGCTGATGGGGCAAGGTAGCTTGAGCAAGTTCACGCGTGAAGCTGACCATCTTAGCGGACAATCTGTGAGACTTATGATGGTCGGGCTTTGTCCTGCTCCGAATCCCCAACCTTGTAAAGGAAGTTGCTCTGTGTTGGGGAGCCTTATCCTTCAAGGAATGTACTTGAACATGGCTTTGATTCTTTCTGTCCTGTGTTGATTTCATAAGCCTCAGGAGGTACAAGAAAGGCCGGAGTATGTAGCAAGCAGGAATAATCTGTGAATTCTGTTTTTTATATTTGTAACACATGCATTTCTTTCATAGGGTTGTTATCTTTCCCCAGTAGTTGTCAGCCTCATGTGATGTGGTAGCAACTGGTTTAAGCCTTTGAGGCACTTCATTGGTAGTTTCAGCTTGCACTAAGCCTATAATCTAGGAAATAATAAATAACTACCTACTTCTCCTAGGGGTGATTAGAAGTGGTGAGGATTAAGAATAATAATGGGGCCCAGCATCGTAGCCTAGTGGCTTGCACGTCTGGGGTTTCATATGGCGACGGTTCTAATCCTGGCGGCCCAAATTCCCATCCAGCTCCCTGTTTGTGGCCTGGAAAAGCAATCCAGGACGGCCCAAGGTCTTGGGACTCTGCACCTGCGTGGGAGATCTGGTTCCTGGGTTTGGATTGGCTCGGTTCCAGCCGTTGCGACCACTTAGGGAGTGAATCAATCAATGGAAGATCTTTCTCTGTGTCTCTTCTCTCTGTATATCTGACTTTCTAATCAAATAAATCTTTTAAAGAAAAGCATCATAAAGTAGGGGAGGGGCAAGCTTTTGATTTAATGGCTGGTGGAGATGCCAGGGTCCCACAGGCTGCCCGCCTGTGACTCCTGACTCCCGCTCCCTGCTGTCACGCGGTCTGGGAGGTGGTGGTGACGGCCTGTGGGGTTGGGTTGCTGCCACCGAGGTGGGAGATTGGAATCGGGTTCCCACTCCTGGCTTCAGGTACAGTTAGCGACCCTTGTGGGTCTTTGGGGGAATGACCGTGTCTTCTGTGTCTCTCAAATTTTGGGGGGGGGGGAAGTGAAATAATGCAAAGGAAGGGAATACAGATTGGTGAGGGTGTACGTGTGCAGGAAATCTATGCAGTTTCTGGGGCCCAGTGCAAAAGGAGAAGGCTGTGCACGGTTCTTATTCCAAAAGCGCTGGGGGAAATTCAGTCAAGTATTCTCCATTAAAACTTTCCTATTGCCTGTGAATCTTTTTCTGGTCACAGTCATGGTGTTTTATAATGAGGATGATCTAGCTAATATTGCTTAAGTAAAAAAGTTAGAATTTAGCTTATAGAGACATGTTTGTAGTTTATCTTTACACCATTATACAGTTTGCAGTTTGCCCTTCTTGCTGCATTGAAGTGGACAGGGAAAGTGAACAGGGAAAGCCTTGCACAGACTGCCTTGTTCTGGTAGCACCTCTGGCTTGTCTGTGACTGGGGAGGGTCTCCCCTTGGTGCTGCCTTTCCCGTTGTCATCCCACGTGACGGCTTCTCACAGGGAAAGTGCTGGGAAGGGTCCAAGGAGATTTGTTGGCTGTGCATGGTTGCTACAACACAGCCGGCTTGTGCGTGCAGCTCAGGCCCTGGCCCGATGGTGCCTCTGCCTACTGAGTCACAGGCTCAGCATGTTCGCTGTGTACTGGTGCCTTTTAACTCTTGCTGCATCCGTGGGTCGCAGCTCCCAGAATTCTCTATTACAGGGCCCTGTTAATGCAAACAAGTGGCAAGGATGGGAAAGGAATATGGAACAGTTACTTCCTGGACTCATAAACAGGGGTTCTCCCAAAAGGCTTGTGGAAAAAATGAACTTGATCCTATTTTGTTTCAAAAGAAAATCCATGTGTAGATTTTCTCTAATATACATGCTCATGACACTTTGGAAGAGCCCTTGTATTCATGTGTGTGATCCACTGACCCACTGGGCTTTGATTCTGAACTCAGGTGCTAAGATAAAATTATTAAGAATTTCAAAGTAGTGACATTGATCCAAAAGCATTAAAGCACAGATCTCCTCTGAATAGGATGCTGTGTGAACATAAGTCCCTATGTGATAGCATAGGCTGCCTGCCCGTGGGGCCAGGTATGTGCATGTGTGTATGTGTCCATGTGCTTGGTTACCTACTGTTGTTGAGGGGAGACTGTCTCATGAAGCAGGTGAGAAAGCTAGGGTTACAGATACCTAGGGACAGGGTGGCGTAGTCGGAGGTCACAGGGCTCCTGTGTCTTTGGCTTCTTGGAAGAAGGAAGCCACTGTGGCTGGAGCCCCAGGTGAAGAGTAGCACATGATCAGAGAGGCACTGAGTCCCTGAGCCGTGCATGGCCTTGAACAAGAAGGTCAGGACTTCCATGAGAAGGTGGAAAGGCTTGGGACAAATCTGAATAGAGGAGTGGCATGCCCTTATTAGGTCTTGGAAGGATCCCTCCAGCCACTGTGTCACAACGCTCTCATTAGGGACAAAATTAGAAGTAATAGTGCCAACTTGGGTTTAGCTGTTGGTGTCGAGGTATAATTGTACCATGCCCAAGTCTAGATGATTTAACTACTTTTGGCATTTTTTAATGTTTTTCAGCACTTTCAGACCATGTTGAAGTCTAAGTTGAATGTCCTAACACTGAAGAAAGAGCCCCTGCCGGCGGTCATCTTCCATGAGCCGGAAGCCATTGAGCTCTGCACCACCACACCGCTCATGAAAATGAGGACCCACAGTGGCTGCAAGGTACAGGGCACAGGGCACACGGGATTTTCTTATTGGGACAGGCTCAAGGAGGGATGACCTTGAGACATAGTGGCAGCCACTTTGACTGATGAGAACATGAAACAATTGAACAAATAATTCTGTTGGTGGATGGGGTTTTGAATGATTTTCTTGCCTTATTTTTCTTATTGTTGTTGAACTCTTCATATTTGGGAGCACACAGGAAAGAGAGCTTTTAGTGTGCATGAGTAAGAAGGTATTCTCCCCAAATCTCTGTAGTGCTGTGAAACTGTATGTGTCCCGGAACAAATTTGAACCTTAATGATAACTCCTCCCTTTTTATTTGCAATCTGAATAAAATATTTTTTAAAGAATGAGGGAAAAAAAACCTCAAATGAGTTTTTCAGTAGTTGCACTCCGAGTCCTCTGAAGGTGGTTCTGCATTTTGCTTTGCTTTAGTTTTCAAAATCTGGTCTGTTATTCATGCCTCAGAATATATAAAAAGCATTTTTATTAATGCAGACTATAATGCCAGCAAGGAAAAAAAATAGAAAGGAAATGTATAATTTTGGTGAATGTTTGGGGTTCTTTCTCATGTGCCCTTATTTTTTCTTAAGTTGATGAATATAGTGGCTGGCTTAGAGGTATGAAGAAATGTGTTTTGTATGCGTTATGTTATCAGAAATTTGTTTTGAATGATGAAAAAACAAGAAAGCAAAGAAAATGAACGTTTGTGTCTGGAATTCTCATATCTCCAAGTGTGTCCACTGCTATTGCTTCTGCTCATTATGGGGGCAGTGGTTCATAGGCAGCCCATCCCAGGCTGGGCCTCTGTCTTGGGCAGTAGCATATGCCTAGTCCTTCCCGGCTTCCATTCATTCTGTGCAACTCACTGCTGGGCCCTGAGACGCAGTGTGAAAAGACAAGCCAGCATCTTTATTGAGTGTACCTGCTAGCAGGGAGACGGGCAAGAGAAAATATGGGTCAGCCTGCGTTGTCTGACGAGAAGGCCGGTTTGAAGAACTAAAGGAAGAATTGTTCAGGCAGAAAGAAGAGGGAGTTCTCGCTGGTTGGTGTTGCAGTGGCTTGATGTGTTTGGCTGTGGGAAGGAATAGGCCTGTGTACCTGGTATTTGTGTTGAGTAGCAGGATTGGATAGGGAAGAATCATGGCAAGTTTAGGTTTTGTTATAATGACAGTGAACTTTAGGCAGGTGCATTATATGACTGCATCGTTAAAAATGATGTTGAATGGAATCTGTTAAGGTGAATTCCCAGATTCCAGGGAGAATTTCAAAGTGACTCAGCTTTTAACTGGAGAGATTGAATCCACACAACTGGCCTGGAATCCACTGTGTTCAGTGCTGTCGGGGAATGAATGATATGAAGGAACTGTAAAAGTTCGCATTATATTTGGAAGTGATAGGAGACTAAATTGGTTAGACATCTCTCAGACACAAGTTGAGGTCAACAGAAACTTATATAAAGAGCGAAGTTTAAATGTGGTCCAGGCATCGAAGTGTGTTGCAAACAAGAAGGTAGAGGCCCACAATTGTGGAAAAGGAAAGACCTAGAAATGTAATCTAAACATAGATTTTTGTGTGTGAGAGAGAGGTGGGTGGAGAGGACAAGACAGAGCAGAGGGAATGAGAAGAGCAGAAGGGGGAGATGTGAGACATTTAGTAGAAGAATGAAAACCATCATTTTTCTAAAAAGGAGTCTAGGACTTGCTCATTTATTTTGCTCCTAAAGAGATGTTGGGAAAATAGTAGGAATGCAGAACACACCAGGGCAGGTGAGGCGTGGCCTGGCATCAGTGTGTGTGGCCAGCTACCTACAGAGGAAGCAAGTGGTACCTCCAGTTAGACACAGGGAAGAATTTGCATCCCAGTAGGCTGTAAGAGATCTTTGGCACTCTATCCCTAGAAATAACGAAGAGAAGAGTCCGGGCGTGCATAGGCATGGAAGGTCGGGGGCAGCACCTCTTGGAGTCTCACCCAGCATTATCATGCTGTCTGAGAACTCTGCTCCCGTTGTTCTCCACAGCTTCATCATTGAAATGCTAACCGGAATCGCTCCCTTGACTCTCAAGGACAATATCTTGTTTGTTTTCTGAGTCTTATTCCTTGGTTTAAAAAAAATAATAATAAAGGTAGATGTTTAAACTTTTATGTTTCTTTTAAAAATTCCCAGACCTCCCACAAGGCTTTCCAATCATGCTTCATAACAAAGGCCAGTGTTTTCTCTCTAATTCTTGTTAGCAGCGCAGCCCCCAAGATGCCAGCTGCAGAAGTAACTCTCTCGCATGCTCACATGTTCCAGGAATAATAAGCACAATGTAACTCGGGCCCAGCTGCGGGGCCAGCGCACGGGACCCTTCAGCTTCACGCAGGAGGAGTCTTTTTGCTGACAGCTTTCAAGTCCCGCTTGCATAACATTGAGTTTGCGGAGGGAGATTAAGAGTCAAGAGAAAGCAAAGGAAAAGAGAGTTGGAAATGGGATGCGGTTAACGCCATTGAGACCCTTGCTTGTCTTCCATTTCCCATTTCCCTCTGATCTGTATTCTTCCTGGCTCCGCTGGGCTGGCTTGGCCAGGCTATTCATGTTTCGAGCAGCTGGGTCTTTGTGTGTTCTCCCCTTTTGCTGCCATCTCCACCCCCCCCCCCAGTTGTGTTATTTAACCAAGCATCCTTTTTGGGCTCTTGGTGGAGCGATTTTGCATATCAGGGGCCGCCTTGACTCTATGGCAGCAAGCATGCTTTGTCACACGTCTTTGTTCTTGCCCAGGTGGCCTATTTGTTAGCAAACATTATAGCCATGGTAAACCTGCTTTATGCAAGGAATCCTGGCAGAAGAGATCAAATTAGGTGTTGTGAAGGAAGCAGTGTGTCACTGAGTACACACCTAGGTTTCCGAACGTGGGGATTCCTCTAAGACCGTGTGGATACAGTGCAAAGTGTGTTCCACAGAGAGCATCTCCACCTTCCCCGGGCTTCCCGATTCCACAGCCTGATCATAGCCACGCTGGAACGTATCAGCTGACCCTTGCTCAGCTGGTAACATTGTGCTCCTATCTAAGGCACTCTCCAGTGTTTGCAGTCCTGGTAAGTTTCAGTGCAAGGCTCCCCTAGGGTGAAGGGGGTGTGTGACCCTAAAGAGATGCCCAGGAATGCCGTGCAGCAAAGGGTGGGGGATGGTAGAGCAGGAGGTCGGGATGGTGGAAGGGGGTCTCCTGTGTGGACAGGCATCTGTCAGCTTACAGTGTGGGTCTGCCTGCTTATCTTTGCTCTCCACCCTTTCAGCATCGCCACAGGGCCAGAATCTTGAGGTGATCCTGAGGGATGGACTTTTCCCAGCCATTGTAGCAACTTTGTGTGTTGGTGTTGATCAGAGATATCTGAGCAGGGAACATTTCCCACCCCACTCCCTTGGCCTCCACTGTCCATGTCCAGCTGTCTGTCTTCCCAGCCTATGCCCCTCCATCCTTCTCCATCAGCCCTCTCCCTGCCCCAGAAGCCCGCTTAGGCTGCTGTTTGTAGAGGATGACACATTCCCAGGGTAGCCGCTCTGCCTGGTGTGAAGCCCCATCCGAGGCATTTCATGTCACTTTCCTCAGCTCATTTCCGAGGAGTCTGTGGCAACTCAGCCGTCACAGGTGCTGAACTGCTGTGCGTTTAGGAGGAGCCTGCATCACCCCCTTTCACAGAACCAGCTGGCCTCTCCTCATGGGACAGGGACGAGCCAGTCCTGGCTTCAGGCTTTGCAGGCATTCCCCAGATGTAGTGAGAGCTCGACTATCGTGGCCAGTTTGAGAAGTGCAACCCAGCAATTAGGTTTATCTCAGAATGACTCTTGATCTGATCCAAGATATTCAACATTCGCATCACACGTATTTGTACTGTATATTTAAATCTTTGATCAGTTATTATTTAATTAAAAATAGTCATGTTTTCCTGTTTTTTTTTCTCACTTTAAACAAAAAATGGCCCACTTTTAAAATCCATTAATGCCAGTAAAAACATTACTTCATTAAGTCGTCTTCCTCAAATACATTTCTGCAGCCTTGTCTTGGTGAAGGTCGTTTTGGGCATTGTAGGAATCCAGTCATTCTAATTATACAGACATTCTTCTTGCAAAATAAGTCTCTGATTTCAATATCAAGAGAGGAGCAAATGAAGGCAAGAACAGTAATATATAAAGTAGATTGTCAATTCAGAATGGGAGGTATCTAATTTGTTTGGCATCATTCCTTCTCAGACATGCTTATAAACAAATCACATTTGCATCTGCTTGCTTTTCAAATTCAGGAAGCAAAAATTGGCTTCAGTTAGCGTCTGCTGTTGAAGGAACAAGTTTTTAGTTTTGTGCACTTTTTACTTCTTTAGACTTATAAATATTTTGGGTTCTTCCCTTTTACCCCTCCCTTCTCTCTTCCTGTCTCTTTCTCTTCCCCTCTTCTTCTTTACTAATTTTCTACTTTCATTCACCCAGATATATTGCAGACTTTAAGAATATATCACACACTTTAAAATGTACTAGTGGTTAGTAGGCTGCACATACAAATAATACTTTTTGATGCTTTGTGTTGAAATAACAAAAAAGCAAACTTGAGGGCCCAGTGTGATAGGGTAGCGGTCAGTTCAAGTCCTCGCCTTGCACATCCGGGACCCCATAGGGGGATCATTTCTAATCCTGGTGGCCCTGCTTCCCACCAGCTCCCTGCTTGTGGCCTGGGAAAGCAGTCGAGGACGGCCCAAAGCTTTGGGATCCTGCATCTGTGTGGGGGACCCAGAAGAAGCTCCTGGCTCTTGGTTTCAGATTGGCTCGGTTTCGGCCGTTGTGCTCACTTGGGGAGTGAATCATGGGACGGAAGAGCTTTCTCACTGTCTCTCCTCCTCTCTCTATCGGCCTTTCCAATAGAAATAAATAAAATCTTTAAAAAATTAACTTAAATCAATGATATTCACTGACAGTCCAATCTGTAAATTCTAGCCTGGGGCGTTCGACTTTAGGTACTCCAGGG